CATTTGGCACACCTCTTTTATTTCCTACTTCAAATCACTATCCAAATGCATTATCCAAACACAGTTTTTAATTATAATTAGTCATCAAATTTGTAATATCAAAAACAGGAAAAAAATTAACACTAACATTCTTTATTAGTTTGGGACTTGTGTCACTTTAATATTGACTTTTCAATTGTAATACATTTGATCTTGAATTTTGAATATTATTTCAAATAAAGACAATCAAAGATGTTTTCCTTTACAAATGATCTATTTCAAGTAAAAGTCGTCATACAACATATTTTTGTATTGGTTAACTTGTTATGTTATTTGAAATGTAATAGCCTTTTTTTTAATGAATAATGCCTATCACCTTTCGTAATTAGAAAGTTATGTTGGTTTAGTTTTTTCAAAATCTATTTTCAAAAAATATTTTCTAAGAAACTAAAAATCAAATTGGTAAGAAAAATTAAAAAACATATCATTTTTATATAATTTTATCTTTTGGGAGGATAGAACTATATTTTAAAAATTAAAATTTTTTTATGGTTTATTTTTATTAAATTAGTTTCTATTTTTTCGAAAAGTCAAATATTGTACACGACCCAACCCGCCCCTATTGGGTTAGCACCGTAACCGGCCAGTAATCCAAGATTACCGAAGGCCTGCTTAACAGTAATACAGTAAAACAGAGTACAGGGGCATTGCGGAAGCCAAACAGTTAAATAAACAATGTCCAATGAGCTGTTGACAGTCTGTATGCCAAAAAGACTTTCATACACATATACATGAATAGTACAGAACAGTATGTACATATATACAATCATTCAGTTCAGGGACCTAATCCCTATTAATACAAGTAAGTACGTAACAACGTACAGTTTACAGTTTACAAGACAGAACAGAAGGGGGGAAAACTAAAAACACCCCATAGCCTTAGCTTGACAGGCTCAGAACCTTGCAGTGAGGCACAATTATAGCGATCTCGGTTGTTCCCTTTACTGTTCTGTTGTATTCCGGACTCGGGTTCCGTGAAGTTGGTAGTGGTATCTATCTTGTTGTCGTCCTTTAATTCCACTTGATTGAGTTTTTAGGATGTTTTGAGGCAGGTTGTTACAGGTTGGTTAGGCCTTAGTTTCATTCCTTGTTGTTCAGTTTTTTAGCGGTCCGCTCGAGCGGGTCTTCCTGCGCTCGAGCGGGGAATTGCACACCTCCAATATTTCGTGTTCCTGCAAAACTTCTGCAGATGTGATTTTTTACGCTCGAGCGGTGGCGCTCGAGCGGGTTTCGGGTTTGGCGCTCGAGCGGGTAGTACTTCCAGAGTATAAGTTCTGGGAGGGAGAAATCTACGCTCAAGCAGACTGATTTTCGCGCTCGAGCGGAAGTGCTTTATTCTTGTGTCTTGGCGCTCGAGCGGGCTTTATTGCGCTCGAGCGTGTTCAGATTTTTGTTCTTGGCGCTCAAGCGTTGTGTTCTCCGCTCGAGCGGGTCATACGTATATGAGTTATCCGCTGGGTGATTTTAAATCACTTTTTACTTTTCTTTCTGTCTCCTACTTTTTCTAAAAACCATTTTTGGGAGCCTCTCTCTCTAGAAACTCCTTTCTCTCTAGGGTTTGATCTAGTTAGAGTGTCCTCCTTCTCTTCGGCCTTTGTAAAAGTCGTGTTGATCGTCGAGGGTGTCGTTTTGATCCGAGAATCTTGGTCTTTGGAGCACTTTGGTTTTGGTCTCTTCTCCATCCGAGCTCTAGCTTTGAGGTAGGGATAACCTACTCCTTACTATGAGTTTTGCCTTTAAATTTTTGCATTTTGATATGTTGGGGGTAGTTGGGTAATTTTGAGAGAGTTTGGGCCTTTGCGTAATTGTACAAAAGTTGGGGTTTTTATTTATATAAAACCAAAATGCATGTTTGGCATGGGAAAGTGGAATTAATGTTGGAACATTAATGAAAATGGAACCTAAGGGTTGTAATGTTAATTATGGAAAATGCCCTAATTACATTGGTTGATTAATTTGCATAATTAATTATGAGAAATGAGGAATTGATTTGGAAAGGTATGGGATTAAAGGGTGTAGTTGGATTACTTTTCGCTCACCTAGTTGAAATGTTGATTATATATCCATTGTTGCATTTATTTTATATATAGAAATAACTACTTTGGGCTATCGGTGGAAGATAGTCTTAATTGTTGTAGACAATGCATGATGATTAGGCAAACTGAAACTAATCACTGGAATGTGTCATTGAGTATGACGTTTGAAAGAATACATTAAATTTATGTGTTGTGTGATGATGTGTATAATTATTGTTTATATGCATTGTGTTGTGTTGGAGGAGATAGGGGATGTACTCCACGGTTTAGAGGAAGATAGGGGATGGACCTCTAAACCGGATGTGTTGGGAGGAGATAGGGGATATCTGAGTGTTTGGACCTTTCCATAGATAGAGCTCATATGCTTATCTATTAATGTGTTGACAGAGCTCATATGCTTGTCATTGGAAGTGTGATAGTGCTTATATGCATATCTGTGGAAGTGATGATATAGCTTGTATGCTTATCTGTTGGTGTGTGATATAGCTAGTATGCTTATCTATTATGAAATGGGAAAATGCTTAATATGAGTTACTGTCTCATATGAGTTGTTTGGCAGGTTCTGAGCCATGGTTATAAATTGAGAATTTGAAAGGAATTGGAAAATGAATGGTAATATGGACTTGTATGTCATTGAAAATGTTAAAGTGTGATAAGGGAAAGTATCAGTGTTGGCCATCTATCAACTGCTAATCTTTTAGTCATTGTTCATATTTGGTTTAGTTATATTTCTACTGGGCTGTGGCTCACCCTAGATGGGAACATCATTTTCAGGTACAGGTAGCATGCCACCTTCCAAGGACGTAGCTTAGGAGGCTAGAGGCAGGCAGGCTTTTGTTGTTTTTTTTTTTGATGTATTACATGTATATTCAAGCCAAGGGCTTAATGTGTAAATGAGTTAGCACTCTTTTTTTGTTTGTAACCAAGTGTTAACTTGGAAAGCTGTAAGCCTTTTAGGGCATTTGCTTTTGTTATTAACATGTTAATACTTTTGGTAATGAAACTCTGATGAATAGAAAGAAGTGGAGCTTTTATATATCAATGCATGTCTCTTGTGATGGGTTTGATCGTTATTATTTTGAGGGCGGTCACACATAGGTTGGCTTGACAAAACTGGAGTTTACCCTGACGCTTCTAGCTGCGGTCTGGTGCCTGTACACCTACATATATATATGAGCAGTGAGCTAAAGCCCAGTGAATAACGTAATGCGTAAAGAGATTAAGAATGAATGTCCTTACAGTAATGAAAACAGTTCGTTAATTCAGTATATCAGTCATTCAGTCATATGTGGTACATCCATTAGCATAACAGTACAGTAAACAGTAGGTCTTAAAAGACCGAACAGTAAATGATGGCCATCAATCAGTAAACAGTAGTGGTTCCAACAAGGGAACCGACAGAGATCTCTATAACAGTAACAGTAAACAGTAGTTGCTAAGGATGCCACAATACAGTTCAGAATATAGGACATACATTCATTCAATTAACAGTATCAGTTCAGAAAGCAATACAGTTCAATTGTTCAGAAGATAATCATTTTGAACATATCTTTACACAGTTGTTTACTCACAGAGTTCTGGGCTACAGTAAAGCTAGAGCGCGTCCCCAGTCGCAACGCTACACAGTTTACAGATTGAACACACACTAAGCTACACAGTTGGGAAGATAATAACTTAATCCCTAATTTGCCTCGGTGTGTTCTACATCTATACCCTCATTAAGATGTCTTCAACTAGGCCTAAGAATGCCTAGGATGGGATGAGGATGCAAAGATGCACTTTAAAATCATTTTTAGAATTTTCAGAAAATAGGGGTCACGCTCGAGCGTATGTTACTCCGCTCGAGCGGACATGCAGACAAAGGTTTCCGCTCGAGCGTAGAATTACCCGCTCAAGCATTCAGCAAAACAGTCAAAAGTGCTGGATAGGTGAAAATCACGCTCGATTGGGCGCTCGACACCCGCTCGAGCATGAGACACAATGTCCCGCTCGAGCATCAATTATTCCGCTCGAGCGGACTTCAAAACAGTGTAAAGAACTGGGAGCACGAATTTCACGCTCGAGCACCAATCACCCCGCTCGAGCGTGAGTTCAAAATCTGGAATTTCCAGATTTGAACTTCAAGCTCAAAACCAAGTTCAAACACATCAAAACCAATCCTCTTGGGCTAATTTTCTAGAAAACTCCTCAAAACTCATAGTTTAACATGATTCAAAGCTCAATTTGTAAAATCAAAGCCCAAAGGAAGATCAATTAAACACAATTTCAAACCATCTTTCAAGAACATAATCCAAGCATGACGTGCATGAGTTTAGCTAGCTTCCAAGCTTCCA